ATTTAAAATAATAATAATAAAGCGAAATGAACAGAGCCGACCAGAAAACCCACCCATCAAATCCAGGATGAGCCGACGCGTAAAAAAATGGGAAAAACCGAATCTCCACTTAGCGTCTTTCCTTCTAGAGGATCTCGTCATTTGTTCTAGAAGATCGGATCCAACGCTTCAAAATCATTGAAAGGCAACCAACTATTGTTCCCCTTCTAGAAAAGCAAGACAAATGCCAACATATCATCTCTTTCTATATACAATCTCATCATCACAATCACCACTTTTTCTTTTTTTAGGATAAAAAAGCACAAGTCTCCAAATCCTAGCAGCCTACGGATTTCTTCTACTCATTTCATGACATAATTACTGTCACCTATTTAAGAAAGATCTCATAATTTCTTCAAACGCCGTTGTGTTTCTGTGTTGGAAACGATGGACGTGAAGAACCTTGTCGATGTCTCCTCTTCGTTTCTCTTCGAAGCCACCGGGGATTCCGAGGCAGCTGTTTTGGATCCTGGAATGCCTGATGTTAACCATGCAAATGAGGACGATGGTGGTGATGCCGGTGGTGATGATGATGATGCAGGATCTTGTATCTGTGATGCATTGGAGATCCATACGGTGAGTAAGATCTATGAGGGTAGTGAGGTTCGCCAAGTCAGTGACGATGAGGAAGAGGAGGAAAATGGTGAAGTGGTGGAGCAGGATGTTCGAGGGTGGGATAAGGACCAACATACTGGGTTGCAAAGGGAGCAGACATCAAGGGTTTCTGGTGATTCGAAGAAAACAATGGATGAGAGGGAGAAGAGCAAGCTGTTTTGGGAAACTTGCTTGGCATCTTGAATCTGGTCTCATAGATTTAAAGTCATGACTCTGATTTCACATTTTTCCCTTTTACTTTCCACGGATTACTGTTTAATGCGTCACCAACTGTACATATGATATCGTTTCTACATGCAAAGAGAGTTTGTTTCAGTCTCCATCGTTTTTCTTGTTTCTGTTTTTTTTTTTTTGAACATTTTGTCATGGGACCGGCTCGAACCGTTACCTTAGGGGAGGGGACATGAATCTTACAGGAGTGACCAAAACCACTTGGCCCGGAAGGTCAGGTTACTGTTTTTTGTTTGTTTTAGTGACACAAAATAGTATGTAATCCATTATTGAGTTCAGAAAACGGGTTTTCAATCCCAACTTGCAATTTTTTTTTTCTTCAAACAATCATAGTCATTGAATGTAATAGAAAATAGTTGTAAAGTGGAAATCCAATGTAAAAGATAACGCTCCATTGTTTCGTCAACAGGAAACATATTTTTGAAAATAGCAAAAAGCTTGCTTCACTCGCTCTAGTTTTGTAAAGATCTATTGGTTTGTTTGTTTATTTTAATAGATTCTCTGCTTTTCTATTCTTTTAAGCAAAGATTATATCAATGACTTACATTTTTTTATAAACAAATCAGAATCCAATGAAGCATCCAGCAAAAGGTTAGGATAATAACACAGGCATTTAGTCATACTATCCCATAAACCAATGGGTAAATTCTGATTAACAGCCCTTTGTTCCGCAAATCAAGCAAACACGGCAATTACAGCTTTGATCTAAAGCTGAAAATCAATCTCCAACAAGTCTAAGGTTAGAAGTAATCTATAACAATCGAAACAACATACAGAACATCTGAACAAGCACAAGTTCAGCCCTTGCTGAACCTTGACCACGGCACAATCTGCCTAAGGCAAATACTCCTACCCTACTAGTTTTAATCAGAGCACCAGAAAGTGGTAACAATGTACAGAGGCAGCTATGAGTAGCATAGGGGAATGCCTAAATACAAGTATTCTCCAAAGGGTATGAGATTGAAACGTTAGTCAGACAGCACGAGTTGGCAGAAACAAGGGTTTTGGAGCAGCGGACTTCAATAATTTGTCTACAATCTCCATGTCATTTGGGTTTTCAGTTCTTTTTGACAGGCTCTTCTTAGAAAGTCCATGGTTTTGAGTGTTTTGGCCTTGGCTTGCCACAGAGTCTTCACCATCACTTGTACTCAAACCAGAGTTCTCATTCTTGCTATCTGTGAATGAAATGCTGGATTCAACATTGAAACCCGAACAACTTCCAGGGCTTGCCTGATTTGTATGCTGTTCCTCACCTGCTGGTGCCTCCAGGAAACTGTTTGTGACATTCATTTCATTATCAAGCTGCCTCAAGAAGCATTCTTCTATCTCACCAAATGACTCAACACCATTATCTTCCATAACGTTGCTGTAATATGCATGGTGATGATCAGGTGTGGGGCCTTTCAATTCACAGCTGGTA